CGTAAAGACATGCATCCTGGCATGTACAGCATGTGAATGACGCATGTGGGCGTGTGGATCTGAAACACAGTGCAAGTACTACATGCACTGGCCTTTTAGGAGAACACAGCGCATACAGAGCAAAGGAATATGGAAGTGTTAAAAGGTGGAAAGCAGCTGATTGAGGCTGGGTGGGTGTTTGAGACTGTGATGGTGTACCATCATCAGTTTGGGAGCAGGCAGACTGAGCATGGCAGGATTGGATGCATGATGCTGGCAGCCATCTGGCTTTGGATTGGACTCCTGAGGGAGACACAGGCTGGTGCCAACCTTCAGAACACACTTCCAGCTTGTTTGAGAAAGAATGACATGTTCATCTATTCTGTGGGTCCATGTGGGAGAGGCAACTGTGTTCCTGCAGAGTTATGGCACATGAGCAAATACTACGCGTTCTACGTATGTTCACTGTATGCCGGTGGATTCTTCAAGGTCACTGCATTTAAAAGCAAATTGTAGCCCTGAATGGAAAAGTAGCAATAACATCCCTTCAAGAATTTAATTAATCGGGTATTTGTATAGCTCTCAGAAGCTGTTTGATAGAAGAATCTTAAAAAATGAAATTAAGAAAGGTTTGAAAAATCAAAGATTAAAAATGTATAATTTAATCATGCTATCTGTATTTTCTCATTATCAAAATGCCATTGTGTGCTAACTAAACATCCTGTGTTCTCAGCACAGAAAACTGAGCCAATATATATATACTGCAGACGGTGTTGCACACTGTTGAGAGTCTCTCTTTGCACAGCCTCTGACCGTAATTTCTTTGTCACAGCTGAGTATATCACAGAATAAAACTGTGAGAGGGCCTTTGTGTGTGTGTGTGTGTGTGTGTGTGTGTGTGTGTGTGTGTGTGTGTGTGTGTGTGTGTGTGTGTGTGTGTGTGTGTGTGTGTGTGTGTGTGTGTGTGTGGGTGATTATGTAAGCTTGTCACGATAATTACGTTACTGATGAATGGACACCTTGACCATCTCTGCTGGCCTCATTACAGCTCATTGTCTTATCACGTTTGTTCACATCAGAATGTCACACACATTTAGCCAACATGTTGCCAGAATAAACGGAAGATTTTTCCCAACCATTGAAACACTGTCTCGCAGCGACAGTGATCCAGGTGAAGTTGAGACAACGTGAGGCTATGAGGTGTTGGAACAGCTACCATCCAAAAAGTTTGGATTTGTTTTGCCTGTGTATTTGTTTTGGTGAGTAGTGTTTTATCATAAACAATGAAAACATTCTGGTAACAGTGATCTAAGTAGCAGACAGAATGTAAAAAAATAACAGCAAATATATGTATTTAAGCTCTGTATCGTTTCTGGTTGACTAGGCCACAGTTAATCTTTACTTTCTTGACACATCACCGGTATATGCTGATATTAAACTGAAGTTTGTCTGATCTGCTTTAATCATTTAGAGGATGAGAGATAGTCTTATTAAGAAGTTTAAAAAAGCCTTTTTAGACTGAAGAGGCAAGTGTAAATGTTGGAATAAAACTGCTCTGAGTTTCAAAAGGAGTTAAATTGTTTGACATGACGACCACATTTATATTCTTAAAGGGTAAATTGGCTTTTTGTGACTTTAAGTACAGTTTTTTTCCTCCCTGGTAAATCATATAAGATTCTAACATCTCAAATACAACCTGCCCCTGATACCAAGCTGCAAACAAACAGATAACTGCAGTAAAACTAACACCTGCACGTACACATTTCTCACATGCATGCAACATACAAACAGGCATTAATGCACACTCACCTTATGTGACATGTGAAATCAAACACAGCACTCTCCCTGCTCAAAAATGCATGAAGTATTTATAATGTTCTCTCTCGTTGAATTATTGATGAACTATGTTTTCGGTTTCTCTACACTTTTTCTACAGTTATATTAGAAATCCAGTCCTTTTCTCTAACAGTCCATTCAGGGCCTTCGTCCTGTTATACACAAAGCCACTTCTATATCATAATAATAGACATACAGTGATAGATCAGTATGCCTAACCATGAAAGCATTATGTTATCCATATGAAAATGAAATAGTGAGACTCCTGGGAACTGAAACCCAATGCAATGTCAAACACACGTCCACCTCTACTTAGTTTCAAGAGGCATGACATGTTCTGCCTCTATAGGCTGGATAGTCTGTAGTACTATAAGCATTTCAGTGACGAGGAGTGACATGAAGTGTATTGTCTATTAAATTAAGAAGCAGACACTCCAGCGAAAAATATATTAAGTCTGTTTGCAACCATACTCTGGGGAGACGACAATGACACAAGGTTGTTTTTAATCTCCTTGAGAAGCGTAATGGGGGAGGAAAGAGTCCCAAAACAAGGACATCGTATTTACTCAGAGTCACACAAGACTTGAAGCACTAATTGATGTGAAATATCGTGCAACATTACAAACAGTTGGCTTCCTCTCGCTCATTATCTGTGATTCCTCCTACTTCTCAATCTATCACCTCTTTCCTTTCTCTCCTCCTCCGTTCTGCCACTCTTTCTCACACAGACACTGGCATCCTTGGTCTCATCATAGATTCAAAAGGAGCCGACTTTGTTTAAAAAAAAAGATGATACAGCTCAGCCTAATTTACTCTGAATTAATTACTCAGTGTGTCCCTCATGTGGTGACAGAATATGTATTTTCATGAATATTTCTAGCAACTTTCTGATTTACTCAAGCTACAGATCGTTCTTTTAAATCCTCCCATAATACTGTTACACACATACATTACAGGTTACAAGTCATGTTTTACGTGTGATAAAGCAAAGTCAATAACTATGACTATACAGTATAGCAGAACTGTGTATGTTTAAATAATTTAAGCCAATTTGTATACATTTTTTTCACTTTTGTTCATGTTTTCGCCTCTTCCTCAGTGAGGCGAAACCTGTTTTTTCTGTTTTACAGTACAGAAAAACCCGAACTTTGCCTACCGCTATTTATTGTATTAAAAAAAGAGAACCTTAGTCAAATGTGGGCGATGTGTTTTTATTACTACCACGTAGTTTAAAAATGTTTTGTTCTTCTTAAAAATAGCGTTAATTGCCATGGCACAAACTGAGCAGCTCATTTGCATTTCATCCACTTTGTCACTTTTCATTAGCTGAGCATTTCCTGAGCTGTCACCAGTGCAGGAGGAATTTGTTAACTGTAAATGTTTCATCTTATAGGAAAAATAACAAGCTTTTGAAAGATGTGGTAATCCAAGTGCAAATCCCTTTCTACCGTGCTGGTAAAAAGTATTGTCTATGTAGCCGCAGCCTGATAAAGCCTGTTTCTGTTTTTCCTGAATCCCTTCATTGCAACGCTATCACATATGGACGGGCAGACGGACATTTTTGGTATATCCTTTTTATTGTTCTCTACTATTTCAAGTCAATTGTCACAAACCAGTTGTTCAACTTGGCACAGTTTGAACTCACAGTTTTAAGTCTATCATCTATCAGACCAGACCAGTGACACATGAAGGAATAAAGTACCTAAAGGCTTTTCACCACACATGATGAAAACAGGAATAAGTGATTACAATTCAGCTTGCAACAGGCAAAAAACAAGTTAGAGAAAAATCAGGGACAGCAAAACAGTAAAAGTTTGGAGTGATTAGGAGAAGATGAGGAGAAATAATGTGCCAAACAGGCTTTGTGGAAATCAAGCTGAGAAACCCAGATTCAAAGTACAAAGCCTCACACCATGTCCAAATGGTTCTCACCCACTCTCGAGCGACCAGCCTGCCAGCTCACATGGAATAACAACACATACGGTTCACAGGTTTGAAAAGAAAGCACCTTGTGCTGGATTGAGGCCGTAGCCATCAGCGCAGAAACACATCTAATAACAGATCCTCTCATAAAAACAAAGCAACATCAGTCTTAAAGTTTTATCAGACTCTCAGCATCTTAGCAGCCGAGCATGAAAGGGACGCCTGACAAACAAATTATGTCTGTTTCCATAGCGATCTATGAATGGCCTGTGCTAGTGCCTGTGACAACCAGATGCCTGGGAAGACAAGGCTAGCCCATAAAAAGCCAGTGCTCTGCAGAAAGCTTGTTATTACTGCTATCATTCAATTGGACTTGATTTGCATAATTAAACTCTGTTATTGCCTGGCTCTGGGAGCTACTGCAAGACTCTGCTCTGCCGCCCTTCCTCATAATAGAGGACCAGGGGCACTTCAGAGAGGAATATACTCTCAGCTGACTACTAGATGTCATTAATCAATACTAATATTATCCATTAAATTGAACTTGATAAGGCTGTGTTTTTGTGGTCCGTTTCATATATTTCTGTGCAGCTCCGGGGTAGAGTGCACACTGATGATGTGAGTCACAGCCTGGACTTCACTCTGCTACATACATGAGAGGCCCTGACAGAGCAGAACATAGCAGGTCCTGACCGAGAAACATAGAGAGAGAAAGGCAGAAGAAAAGAGAAGTAGCTCACAGGCTTACATAAAGCAATGTGTGTACATGCTGCATAGTACAGAACCTGCAGCTCGAAAATACAAATACCAACCCTTCTTGTGCAGAAATGTTGTTTTATACAAATTCTTTGCATGAAATATTTTTGAAACAATTGGTCGATCCCTCCTCTGTGTTAAAGAACAAATCTAATGGAATAAAATAAATACTAAATACTAAGAATCAATAAGGACCATCACAGATATACAGAAGGGCATCTTGAAGAACCTCAGAGACAGAGCAAACAGAGACAATTGTTGGCCAACTGACAGCACCCGAAGCCAAATACTTGAATCATGACCACAATAATCCTTTTAAATTGCAGCTATTCACTCAAAGACCATGCGACCGCAAAAGGATAACAACACGACCCATTCAACTGTACTATGACACAGCATTTCCACAGAAACTGGTCAATAAATCATTTCATACAGCGAATCCCTTGCAATGACCAGCTGTCACTTTGTTACGAGCAGCTAAAAGCCAAACAAATTGAGAGTCTTACCTCGACGAGGTGTGGAGTTGGATTGAATCCACACAGGTTGCACACTTGCTGGTGGCACTGTGTGCAGGTGTTGTAGTTGGGTTGCTCTGCTGTGTTGCCGATGTTGAGGCCTGTCTTGCAGAGAGGACAAGAAGCTTTAGGTTTAGAGGCTTCCGGGGAAGCGTGCTGTTGTTGCTGCTGAGCAGGGCCTCGAGGCCCTTGGTGTGCGGGCTGGGGTCCTGAGGGTTTACTCGCCGCAGGCCCTGGACCAGGAGGTCCCCCTGGTTTGGGCGCCGTTTTGGGTGGCGGTTGTTGGGGTTGAGTAGTCTCAGATATGAGAGTGCTGGCTTGGTTAAGAAGAGAAGCACCAAAACCAAACAACTTCCCAAAAGTCTGCTCTGGAGGCGGCGGCTGCCGCGAAGGGGAGCTCCCCGCACTGCGAGTCTGATCCTGGCGGGGGTGCTGGGGATGGTGGGCGGGAGAGTTGTGGGACAGATCAGGCTGAGATGGGGCCTTGGCCATGCCGGGGAGAGCCACTGCCCCTGGAGGGAGTCTCACTTTTTGCTGACCCGGGCCACCAGGACCTGTCTGTCTGGTAGGACCAGAAGCTGGAGGTTGGGCGTGTCCTGGAGGATGGGCCTGAGGATGGGCCTGCGCTGGAGGATGGGCCTGCGCTGGAGGATGGGCCTGAGCTGGATGATGGGCCTGCGATGCAGGGTGGGCCTGTGCTGGATGATGGGCCTGCACTGGAGGGTGGGCCTGTGCTGGATGATGGGCCTGCACTGGAGGGTGGGCCTGCGCTGGAGGGTGGGCCTGTGCTGGATGATGGGCCTGCGCTGGAGGGTGGGACTGCGCTGGAGGGTGGGCCTGCGCTGGAGGGTGGGCCTGCGCTGGATGATGGGCCTGCGCTGGAGGTTGGGCCTGCGCTGGAGGCTGCGTCTGAGGAGGGGGCTGCGTCTGAGGGGTGGGATGTGTTTGAGTTGAAGGATCAGGCTTAAGTTCTGGTTTGGCTGCATGAGAAGGAGAGTGTATCTGTTGCTGACTCTTGGAGCGCGGTGTGGTCATGTCCATCCCCAACGCTCTCTGCATCTGACAGTTCAGACACAGCCACTCCTGTACCTATGAATGACAAAGATGAAAAACAATAACAATTAGTTATGGCATAAAATCTTAATATTTAAGTTAATAAATGACTTTGGGTTTTAAAGAAACAGTCGAACATATTCGGAAAGATCTTTATTTGCTTTCAAAAAAGTGTTGGATAGAAAAACGTATTACACACTTTACATCTTAAACTCATAAAATGAATTGTGTTAGCTGTGAGTTACAGGTGTGCTAAAAGGCAGATTATGAGAGAGCCAGCTGTTTTCATCCTTTCTTTAGTTTAGTACAAAGCTAACCACCTGCTGATGGCAGCTTTATATTTATTGTGCAAACATTCTAATTCTATCCAAATAAGAATGTTACTCTCTGCAAGAAAGCAAATACTTTTCAAAAAAACAAGCTAAAAATGGTTAAACTGACAGGGCTATTGTAAATGATAAGAATTGTAAATAATGAATAAAAAAATATATATATACAAAATATATCTATAAAAAATATATATATAAAAAAGTTTATATTATATTCTCCCATTGGCTCAGTGAATGCCCCACTTCCTGTTCACTGTCCAAAGATATTAAAGTAACATGAACTACAATCTCTAAACTGCCTCTAGGTGTGAATGTGAACACCAGTGTGTTGATCTGTTTATGTGACGGACTGGCCCCCCCACTTCCCTTCATCCAATACAAGCTGGGATAGCCTCCAGCCTGCTCTGAATAGGAAACATTGTGTATAGAAAATGATAGAATGCAGGAATAATCATGAGTGATGTATAATATCTCATTGAGGAAGGATTTAAGCTCCCCGTGCCTTGACATGGAAATGTATGGGTAAACATAATTTACCCATAGAAAGAAAATCTTAGGAAATTGACGTGACAGACGGGGTGAACTCTGGACTTCCTCAATAAATCATGGACGCCCTGATTTGGTATCTTCCCTGGCATCCTCTGTGTGTATCTTGCCTTTTTGCTTTCTCTTACATCCCCACTCATTATACACCATGTTCCTTTTCTCATTAAAATCCTCCCCTGTTTCTCCTCGTGTTCCACCTGCTGTTGTCATTTCATTTATGTCTTTACCTCTCCTATCTTTTGCTCCCTATAGGCGTGCAAGAAGGTAAAAGTCAGAAAGAGGGATAGCACATATGCGTGATAATTGGCTTCCTGGTGCTTTGACAGCTGCCACACTATTGTAGATGTCTTGGATTCATGGTCATTACATAATGCCCTAATGCATTATAAATGCACTGGGAGAAAGGTTGTGAACAGGTTGGTGGTCCAGGGCACAATAGGAGGGTATCCAGCCGTCGGCTTTTTTCCTTATACCTTTGGGGGAAAATTCCCTCTTACTCTAGTGGATACAAAAATATTTTGGTTCAGCTTCAGCAGATGCCGAGCCAAGGACTGGAAATGCAGGAAGATCTCTTCACTTCTGCTGGCTGAGGAATCAAATGTCTCTGCAAGCCTGTGGCCACGGGAGACTGAGTCATAAACAAGCTCACAAACAACTCACACTCAAACACACAAACACACACACCAATCTATGAGGTGCTGCATATATGATCCAAACTTTAGAAATGACTTTATACTCATACTCCTTTATCAAACTATTACTTACGTAAACAATAAAACATAAATACTAAAAGGTCCTCTAAATATGTTTGGCTTTAGTATTCTTCATTGTAAACTGATTACAATCTGAAATCTGCCCCATGTTACATATTCATGCAAGCTATAGTGCAGTAGTGGTCGTTTCACAGTTTAGCTACAGTGGTGTGAGTCACTAAACCTAAAGTGTAGTATTCCTCCACAAAATGCCAAACGGTGACTCACTGCTGTGATAAGACTTTTAGTTGAGCGAGAAGCTCTGCTAAAGCAGTTACTTAACCCAAGCTGATAACACCTAATTCTGCTGTCAGCTGATAATCTGCCACTCCGTGTATCTTCATTATTCATTAGCAATTATTTGACATTTGAAATAAAAGAAAAATTGGAATGTGGGAAATAATTTAGAGAGCTGGAACCAGACTCATTTTGTATAAAAAATGGTTTTGCATTAACAGGTTATTACTGGAGAACTATGAAGCATGGAGACGTGTCTTTTGTACTATCGCCTGATGCCTGATGCCATTTATCTATTAGTAAATCATCAGATCCTATTCATTAAATGATCATATCATCTGGATTTGAAGTATATGTTACATGAAATTACAAATAGAGATTGTACTGAATTATTACTTATGCTGCAAGGAGCAATACAAACATATCAAATGTTTAAGGCTGGGAGAAATTACTCTTGTATTTAGTGGAATTAGAATACCTCATTTGAATATGTTCATTCAAATAAATAAGAAACCCTATTTGAGATGGGTGGTGTCTCTGCCATCATGCTGCATGCTTATTCTCAGTGTGTGTGTGTGTGTGTGTGTGTGTGTGTGTGTGTGTGTGTGTGTGTGTGTGTGTGTGTGTGTGTGTGTGTGTGTGTGTGTGTGTGTGTGTGTGTGTGTGGGTGTGTGTTCTTCTACTGGTGAGCGTGATACATTTTACGCCTCAACAGATGTGTGACTTTACCATAACAACCGACAAAAACGATTTCCTTTCTTTAAATGATACGACCACGCCAAACAGTTTAATGTCTGTGCTGCTCTCATCCTATATCTTTGCTCAGGCCGCATTGGTACAATGAGAGGAACAGGGACATTTTAAATGACAGTCTCCTTGCAGACAATCCAGAAAGAGACCCCTCCTTAGACGCAGCCTCTAACAGAGGCCAATCATGTACAAGGAACCTGTGGCAGCCTGACCTGCGCTGCAGCTTTTTATTCAAAATTGCCCTGTCCACTGCTTAAAAATGTTAGTAACCACTTTGCTTGCCTTTTAATATTTCTCACTCAAGTCATTCATTCAGTCAGTCAGTCAGTCAGTCATTCAGTCAGTCAGTCAGTCAGTCATTCAGTCAGTCAGTCAGTCAGTCAGTCAGTCAGTCAGTCAGTCAGTCAGTCAGTCAGTCAGTCATTCAGTCATTCAGTCAGTCAGTCAGTCAGTCAGTCAGTCAGTCAGTCATTCAGTCAGTCAGTCAGTCAGTCAGTCAGTCAGTCAGTCAGTCAGTCAGTCAGTCAGTCAGTACACCACTTTGGATCTAACTTTTATACTACTATTTAAAG